AAAAGAGTGTGATGCTTCGCGGGGCATTTTCTGCATGTACTACGTCTACATGTTTTGCTAAAATGCCCTGGTCGCAAACAATTTAAACACAATTTCAGTGACAAGACCTTTTCACTTCTTTTGTTTGTGGGAATTTTCAGAAATTCTGGACAGTTGTGTATATAATGTACGCCGTCGAAAAATGAACATTTTGCCGCTTTTTGATCGTTCTCGGTAATTAAAAATCCTCTTGTGTCCCTTTTACTGCGTTTTTCAAATTGTTTATCGAATTGATTTGACTCAAATGTTTCTAACATTTCTGTTTTTGAGTTTAAAAATGATTTTAAATCTTTTAACTTGGGAACTTCTTGACTTTTTGACTTAAACATCTCCCAATCCCGAGCTTTAACGCTATCGAATTTTGTCCCTACTAAATAAAAAATTAAAACATCCCACGAATTTATTGGCAAATTTAATTGTTCTAAAGCACGAAGATTTTTTGTTAATGTGTCAAGTAATTTTCGAATGCCGTTAGCCGATTCGTTCTTAATTGTGTCCATGTTGAAAATGTTCTTTACATGATTATGTATTAACATTTTGTCATTGTTAAAAAATTCTAGCAATTTTATCACCTGAGCGGGACCCTCTGTCAACGAAGCCCTTAAATAATGAAAGCGCTGTATATCGTTCATTGCGTCGTTTTTATGAATGAGTGACTCGAAAATATCACGAAATTCTAACCAATTTTTTCATTAAGAATTTTTTTTGCGATTTACACCTGCGAATAGTAAATAGATTCAAAGTTGTTGCGCTCTGTATATTCTTTTTCAACATCTTCGCAGATGCTTTCAATTTCATCTTGAATCTCAAAGAAGACACACATTCGATGTTTTCTAAACGAGATTGTAATTCAATTAACTCTAAATCTGTAAACTCGCTTTTTTCTTGCAACGAAGCTAAATACTTTTTAAAATTCGTCAGAGAGCTTTTTACACCGCCCCTCTTTCTTACAAGCGAATCCATTGTTCAAAAACAATTTTCAATAAAAGCGAAGCGGTCAGGAATTGTTTAGTCTGGAACGTGCAAAAGGGGGACTCAATTTGATGACTTAATCTGACCTTTTTTTTGTCGTGTCGGCACCGTCTACGCCTCTTTCTGTCGCCTGGATCGCCGCTCGAGCCGCTGTTTGTACCTTGCAGGTGTTTTGGGCCGCTGTGATCCACTGCTTTAGTTCTCGTCGTTTTGGTTACTTTTTTGTGATTCGTTGGATTTTTTCAAAAAAAAAAACCATCCGCCGAAGGAACATGTTGTTGATTTGGGGGTTATTGTTCCGCAATTTTCACTAACACAATTTTTCAGTAAAATAAAACGCCGGAAGATGACTAAACTGTGTATTTTGTAAAAGAACCAAATTATCCCCACATTCTTATTAACGCTAAAGATTCTTTCCGCTTATGTTCCACTCTGATACCGACCGACTCGCGTCTCCCTCTGCGAAGGCACCCTGCCCGGAACTTTATTATAAGTTACAGGCATGCGCACTAACTCAAAACTGTAACATTAAGCAAAAATATTTAACAGAAAGTAATGTATAAATTAAGAATGACTTGCACTTGGCGAAACTAGCAAGGAACTCTTACTTTTAAAGAACAGTTTAGTTATAATTTAGCGACTTTTCGTTGCAAGCTTTTTCCAGATTTCTAGAAAAACTATCAAACTATCTTCTGAATAGTATTCGGAATCTGATGCACCTGGAGCCGAATCTGGTATGTATTCGCTATCACTACTGTTAGCTTCAGGATCATTATCACTATTATCAGTTTCTTGTAAAGTGGACGACACTTTTAAAATTGACTCCAAATTTTCTGAACTTTCATGTTGAAATGAAGCTTCCTTACTAAATAGTACTTTTTTGACATTTTGGAGTCTCGTTTCATATTGCTTTTTAGTGGAGGAGACGCATTTCACTTGAAGCGGAACTTCGGGAGACTTTATTAGGTTAGACCCTATAGCGTTATTATTTTCAAATAATTTATGTTGATCTAGAAATGTTGATATTAGTTATGATATATGATAATATGACTTACCTCGAAGAAGTACCCGTTGTTCACGTATGTTTGTTCCTTTCCGTTCATAACTGAAGATTTCCAAAAAGCTCACGCAATTTTGGTCTGCTTTGTTTAGAGCATTTAACAGAATTTTGCTGTTTCGATCCATAACCTAAATTAACATATTTTTCCTTCACAATAGAATACTGTTTTTTACTTTACCTATATAACAGGTTTTAATATTAAGCAATAAAAATCTGTCCTACTTTTCTTGACGATTGGATAATTTTGAATATTTGACCCCTAGGAACATCAGAATTATGTTCAATTCAAGTCGAAAAGTAAAAAAATAAAATGCGACAGTAGTTGTGATGATCGCAAAAAACGCAATGGGCGCGGTAAGTAGTAAGAGTGATTAGTGCATAGTAAAATATTAAAGAAAAATAAAAAAAATGAATTTGTTGCAAAATGCTAAAAAGAAAAAAATTAAAACCGAGATTAAAAACAAACTCATAATGTACAGTATAAGATGTTAAAAGATATTACATGCCTAGTACGAATTTTTTAGAACATTATGTAATAAAATATAGTTCTATTAGCTGCCAGTCTCCAGAGAAAAAAATATGAAGACTAATTTTGAAGTTGAAGAAATTTAAATTGCAAAACTTACTGCTTTTGTATATATAACGCTCTTACTAAAAGCATTGTAAATATTGCTTAATTTTAAATATGTTAAAAAACAAAGAGACAAAAAACATCGTCTTTATTAGTGGACTTTATGCTTCATTATATTTCTAAATTAGGTTAGTGTTGATTAGTTTTTGTCAGATTTTTGTTAAACTTGATTTTAAAAATAGCATATCTTACAACCTAAATTCTTGTATTTTTTTAACATTTGCAATAGTGAATTAGAAATTGAATTGATATAAAAAACACTGTTTATTTAACCGTACAACAACTTGACCTACATTTTATATCGTTTTTTTGCCTTAAACTTTTATATACCTGGATCGGTCTTGGAAAACTCAATCTCGTTTTTTTTTTCTTCTCCACTGCGAATTAATATGTACGCAGTAGTATAACAAAGTAAGATAACGTACCCTGTATAGTTGCAACTACAATAACTATTAAAGACATTAAAGACAAATATTTCAAATAATTTATAATATAATAACCATAATATAAACAAGAAATAGAGAAATAGTTATTTGTGCAAATAATTTGAACAAAAAATTATTTTTTGTAAAGAAAGGATTTCTGCAGAATCCAATATTTTTTAAAATTTAATTTACAAAATTTCAACTTATCCTACGTATAGGTTTATTTTCGTTATGTTAATCAGCTTCAAAACAAAAAAATATTTTCTTTGAACTCACTATAAATAACAGTGTGAAGGTTATGACAAGTTTGGACGACTCAATAAAGTTGCACAGTCAATTTAGAGTTCATTGACTGCCTCAATCATGAAATTGTTGTATAGTTTACCTGAAAAAGGCTGTACATATACCTACACTTTAGCAACTATGTTAAACAACAAACAACTCAACAGCTCACAATTTCGCTCAACTCTGAAAAAGTTAATAGACAGGACAGAGTTGCCATGCAATTTATATATATATATATATATATATATATATATATATATATATATATATATATATATATATATATATATATATATATATATATATATATATATATATATATATATATATATATATATATATATATATATATATATATATATAATTTATATCCCGCGGTTATTTTGCATCATTTCACTTTGCGACTATTCTGCAACTTTGCAATTAAGCATGCTACACTATATATACTGCATGTATATTGAAGAGAAAAAAAATAGGTTAAACGTAATGTACTTTATTTTCCGAAAGCACAAAAATTTAAATATACATTTTTTTTCAAGTTGCACAACTTTTTACATCCAGTACAAAATATCTAATTTGCGTCCTTTTTGTATAATTTTCTTTCTAAACTAATGCTTTTTCCTTCTGTTTTTTTTTACATCCTGGATTAATTCTTCGATTTGATTCATATCTTTTGTTTCTTTTTGCGTTTTCCTACTTGTTTTCGTCGAAGTTTCTAGATCTTCATCTTCGCTAGTTTCTTCATTTAAAAGATTTTCTTCTAAATCAATTGTAATTTAGTCCAAGCTTTTCCCCTTATGAACACCTGCCTCTCCTTTTTCCATTAAAAGAAGAAGCTTGGATATCTTTGCTGTCTGATAGACATCGTCTATATGATTCTCTATGCACGTTGGATGTATGGCCCATGAAATTTGACAGTTGTTCAATTTCATTTTCGGTTAGATTGAATAATTGTGTTAGCGTTGCAAAATGTTTTCGTAGCCTTGTGAATGTTATAGCTTCACACACATAGCGCCACAACCTTTAGCATATTTTGCAACAACTTTGTAGCCACGTATTGGAGTATTCGTGTTAGGGTTTGCAAAAAGGTAGGGGTTGTTGTCATTGACGAAATTTGATCTCGCCTGTAGTAGTTGATCAATATGTACCTGCATATCGTGACTAAATATGACTGGCACTCCTCTACCCCTCTTTCCTCTAATCACTATTCTTTTAAAGTGTTGTAACAAAATTTTTTCTGCTTTCGAGATAACTTCACTAAATTCTTCGTAAGAGTTTGATGATTTTTCTGAAGCAACGTAAGTATCCTTTAATAAACGCTGTAATTCTCCTGGTCTCCTTCTATTCAATAAAATAATTCTACAATACACTGTCTCCATCAAAATTAAGAAGGCATTGACATTCATTGCATTTGCAGAGAGTAAATTGGCAGCTTCTTTTGCAGTAGATATTAAGTATTCTTTTAGAAGTTTTAGATCAGACGCTAGGGGAACAATTGTTATTTTATTAAATTTATTGATGTTTAGATCATTGCCAGCTCGACTCGATATATCAAATCGCCAGTTAGATGCTAGTAAATTTACCATCGTTTTAAATCGAGATTCAATATTTGCCGTTTCAACTGACGGTTCACTTTTTAGGGTCATATAAGTTGCAATATCGCAACACTGTCTCAGAGATGTGGAAACACTTCCTTTATGCTATCAAATCTGGCCACAGATTTTGTAGCTTCCACCAGTTTATCGTAGTGCTTTGGATGCAATGCTTCAAATAGATTTGCTATGTTTGGATCCATTTTTTTAAGCTCTAATAAAATTCTTGACAACTCTCGCATTTTTCTACTTGTAACATTAATAAAATGTTTTTCGCAATGTGTCTTAAGATAACGAGCTCCAAAGGCACATATTAAAAAGTCATTCTTTGCCTCTAAAGAAATCTTATCAGGTCTCATTCTAGGAAAAACCTGATCTTTTAATTATTGGTCAATTCGGGTCAAATTTTTTATCAAAAAGTTTTGACTTGCAACTTGAGCATTTTTTGATGAACTAGCCCCTGTGCATTTCTTTGTGTGTCGATATAAAAATTTCGATCTGTAAAATCCCAAGCAGTTTGTGCATGGCAATATTTTCTTTTGTATTTCTCAAAGCTTTAATTGTGTTTATTTTTGTATTTAGTTTTGTTTCGTCCTGAAACGGTTCTTAATCCGTAAAATATACGCCACCAATAGCTGACAATACTTACAGAGTCTGGTTGAGATTCCTCTGAATTTTGCACTCGAATATTCTGCAAAACCGTAATTTTCTGTAAATGAAAACCAGGTTATAGAATGTTAAAATAACATGACAAAGCAAAGTGAAGACATTCTTCTTTATACCACGATAAAGCCTCTAAATCACTGAATCAGTTTTGAAAAAATTGTCTGAAACCGACGATTTGCAACCAAAATGTTATGATATGCTTTAAATATATTTTTTTATATTGCAAGATACCTTGTTAAATTACCACAAAAAGAAACTTCCAAGGTATGGTTTAACACTCCCTCACTTATTTGAAAATATAATAAGAAAATGTGTGTGAAAAGAAGCCAAACACAAGAAAAACAAAAAATAATTAAACGATCAAAGCAAAGAATTGTTTTGTTTTTTAGCGGAAAGTTTCTTGTTCTTGGGTAATCGTCCAAGTTATTTATTATTACCTTCTTAAATTTACAGATCTCTATTTCTGAGTCTGACGGCGATCTATCTGGAAAAAATTCTGCGTCGGCATCGCTATTGTCGAATGTAGAATGTGGCGAAAAATCACCCTGCAAAAGTTACTAAAATATAATATCATCATTTTTCTTAGTTAACAATTTAACATCTTGACTCTGATTTTATTACATAAAAGAATAATAACTTACCTCAACCCTTTCAATCTCCTGTTTTACTTCATTCTTCATTTTGCACATACTTAAACCATGCGAGTTGGATAACTAATATGCATCCGAGATTATGATTTAACCTTAGAATATCGCCCAGCGACGCTGTCTAGTTTTTCCGTAAATGGAAGCAAAATGATGCGCGCAGTGAAATAAATAAAATATACTATATGGTATACTCCGTCTACACCAAGCATTAAATTGCCTCCATTTATTTATACTTTTCATTCAGTGCACCATTTTGCTTCCCTCTGTGTTGCCAAATTAAATTTTTTCAATGAACATACAGAAAGTAGCAATTTGACCAAACGTATTGATTTCGAAAGTTGATAATACTTGAAATAGAGGTATCCAATTTTGTTTTTAGTGTTCCTTAATTGTTTTTACAAGAATAACATTTTAACACGCTATTCCTTCAATCCAAGATGTTTTGTTTTTTTTAAAGGAAAAAGTCATAAAACGACTAACAGATAATAAAATTTAAAATTTTACTCAGTGCATCCTCTGAAAAGTCTTCGACAGTTGATAATAATCGAGATATATGTAGGTTCTTTTTTAATTTGGTGATGGGAAAAAGTGAATAGATGTTGAGAGACAAAGAGAATACAATCCGGCAATGCAAGTCGTCTTGTTTTAAATTTATTTTAAAAACTGAAAAAAATTATAAAAATGCTAACGGCTAATAAAAATTTGTCTTTTACTCAGCGCATCCAACCAGGAGTAATAGGAGCATTTTTCTTTGTTTATTGCATTTCAATAATATTTTCTACCCAAAAGCACTTAAAGAATTCAACAAACAAACACAAATTTAATCCATAAACTAATTCAAAAAAAGTTTAACATAATGCACGGATGATGGAAATACAACAAAATCAAAGCGTCGATGAAGACACAAAGTTCAAAATAAGCCATAAAATAATATATTGCAACGTTGCCATTACTGTGAGAAAATATTCCCGCCAAGGACTCAAAATAGCCCTTAAAATGAAAAATAATATACGGGCATGTATACGATCACTACGCCACGTGGTTCCAATTTCGTGAACTAAAAAAAATATACGTTTTCCATATCGCGAACGAAATTGCTTCCGGAGCATTCGTTAGCACAGTTCTACTGAAACTCACAGAAGGGCAAACTAAAACGAATCAGAAAGATATCGTGGATACTGAGTGAATCGTCTAAATTTGGTTTATTTATGATCCATGGTAACAGAACTATTGGGCAAAACTATTTTGCGTCCGATATACGGACGTAAAATAGTCATGGACGCAAAATGTAATGTGCGGTGCATGTTGGTGGGTGCAAAATAGTGCGCAGGATATATATATATATATATATATATATATATATATATATATATATATATATATATATATATATATATATATATATATATATATATATATATATATATATATATATATATTCTTACCTCTCAATCGCAGGGTCGTGAAAAAGGAACGCATTAATTGATTGAATTCGTAATTTAATAGTGAGGTAAGACGATGCCTAGGCTAGCTCATTAACAATCAAGAAAAATTAATAAAGTAGGAAAAAATACTAAATCAAAGCCAAGTTGGAAGGCGGTGAAGGGCACCTCGGTCAGTCCCGGAAGGTAAACTTATCAACCCGAGGTTCCAACCCGTAAAGGAAATAAACTAGTGAATCACGAACAATAATTTATTTCCTCCAACCTGATGGTAGGTGTGAGTGTCAAATCTCACTTTCAAGTTTTGGCGGTGCAAAAGAATGTAAGACACTATAATTTAAGACTATAAGTTCCGCAGAGAACGTTCTTGAAGAGAACAGGCCACTTAAGCTACCCAAACCTCAAGCTGTCCCGAACGTTACACAGCTGTCTGTCACTATCCCAGGAACCAAGCCAAGATGCAATGGTGGCTCAATGGAACAGCCGCAGGTGGGCAGTCGCAGATAACCCAGCAAAGTCTGTCCGGAAAGCCGGCTGCTCGATAGGGGAAACTCCACAACTAAACATGTACCCAAGAGACAGCATACACTGCAAGACACCAAGTCTGGTCGGGTATTCCGGTGAAAGAAGAAACCACGTGGAAGGTTTGCGGGAAACGGAGCAACAATACGTACAATACTCGATTCGAGGGTTTTCTGGAAATGTGGGGCAAAGACAATTCTTTTCAAAATCCCTCGTTGAGGAAGATTCCCATCCCAAACTCCAAATAGATCCAAAAGTATGGGAAATCATAAATTAGTGACCAATTTACATATCCGCCTCTTATTGGGGTAGCACTACCGGCTCAAAAAGAAATCGGTCACACAAAAGAAAACCTGCCACAACCCCAAGCTTCAAAAGCTAGCGTACAAAATGCCGGACGATTCAGACAACCAGTTTTATTAAAAGGCTAAACGGGCACAAAAAATTAGAGGGAAAACACCACTCTTGCCAACCTAGTCGACGGTACGCCGCCAGTAGAATGAACAACCGAACTATATCTGTGGTGATGGCCGTATGGCCCGTGCCAAAGAATCGAGATTGCGTCAACGAGATCGAACTACCCGAACGCTATCTATGGTGGCGACCGGACGGCCAGTCACAGAAAATCGAGGAAGAATAGGTTAAGAAACAAAACAATATTTACTAGGCTCGCCAAGGAATACCGAAGCAATGAAAAGCAAATGTGGTCCCTAGTCTCATAGGGTGACAGATGGTAATGGTTATGACTCCTTCTAATGCGCAACTAATATTCTGTTTTTTGCATTAGTATCTCTCAGTAAACCGGTGTCACTTAAGAGAAAACCAAGCGAACAAGGGGCCACGCATACAACTATTGCAGCATAAAATATTTATGGTTCGGCAACACAATCGGCCGGGGAGTACAATTCCGAAACTAAAGAAACCGAGTCTACAAAAGAACGTGTGTTCAAATCGCAAAATCAATATGAACCTAATAAACAAGAATTTTAATTGTTAAGAAGCACTCGCCAAACAGCAAAAGGTGAAGGAAATGGACAGTACAATTAATTCTACAAGGTACTAATAAAATAAACCCGTTACTTCGCAAATGTGCCAGCACTGGTACTTTAAAAATGCTAAATTTTACCATTGAAATATGAAACCGTCACAAACATGCTACTCAACGAACCTTTCGTTCTTATACGCACGAGGTATTTAGTATCGAACAAACTAAAGTGGCGCTAAGTCCGTATGACGACAAAAGATTTCTTATACCAAACACGTTTGATACTCTTCCGTGGGGGCATTACAAGGCACTGTAATTTTTTTTTCTCTGTTGTAGACAATGGCCGAATTGTTGTCGTTCAAAGATCTATGTATCAAGTCAATTAGTGAAAACGTTCATTCTTTTGCACATTTTCTGCTTGAAACGACCTTACCGAGGACGCTAATGCTACAGATAATGGAAAAATATCCCGAATATAGGTGGAAATATATTAATGCACTCGCTGTCAAATGTGAACGATCACCTCCACCAGATTTGAGTTTGATAACCCGTCAAAAGAAAGTATCGTTGGAACATCGGAATGTCATTTTAGTATAGCCAAGGTATACAGACCATCCTTTTGAGCATTATAGCTATTATTTATGGGAAAAACATTATATAGTGATGACCCGAACATTTCTGTTGATGGTTTGTCAATCTTGCAAAGACGCTTTTATAACTTTTGAAAAAAAAAATCAAAAATCAAATTTGACAAATTTGATTTTTGCGATTATCGACACGTACCTACCGTCGAAGCCTGTGCATTAATATATATGGTATATCAGAGTCAGAGGAGTTGGTATGAAAGTTGCTATTCCGAAATACACTTTGAATTAGAACCCTCAGAAAACGATGATCACACCAGAATATATAATAATTTAATGGCGATAATTGATTTGTTTTAACATATTCATTGCGACCTAATAATAAAAAATATTTGTAAAAATTATGCTTATGTTAGTCTTTTTAGAATCCCTCAGAAAACGATGATCACACCAGAATATATAATAATTCAGTGGCGATAATTGATTTGTTTTAACATATTCATTGCAATCTAATAATAAAAAATATTTGTAAAAATTAGGGTTATGTTAGTCTTTTTTTTATTCTAATGTAAAATGTATATGTAACTTTTTTTTCACTTCCGATTCAACAGGTTTTGTTGTTGTTGTTTGGAGGAGTGTGTGTGTGTCTAAATAAAAAAAACACTAAAGATTTTTTTTTATTTACATCAACATCGACAACATTTTAAAATTAAAAAAAACTATAGGATTGATGCGGGCAGAGAGGACGCTAAGCTTGCAAAATGTTTAAGTTTTTTTCTGCATTCGTCAGAATGAAGGCGCGAAACTTGTAACTCGCTCTGCAGCAGGGCAATTTTAGTTTCAGTCTCTTTGATCCGGTCCTCGTTTCGCACCAGCTGCGACTCTAAAGCCATTTTCATTTTCATTTTCACCCTTCTTTCTTCGTCGTCGATAAACGTATCGAACCAACCGGAGGAGGAGGAGGAGGAGGAGGATGAGCCGGTATGCTGCTGCTGCTGCTGAACCGTTTCTTCGCTTTTTATTTTTTTTTTTTGCGAGGCTTTGGGGGCGTCGTCGCACTAAGACGCCGTTTTGACGGTTTTCTTACTTGTTGTTGTTGTTGCACTTCCGGTGGTGGTGATGGCGGTGGTGGTGGGGGGTGTCGGTGGCGGCGTATAATGTATGTCGTAGCTCGTTAAAAATTCGTACAACTCTTCGGAGAGCGATATTTGCTGCCGCTGCTCCATGATGCGCGCCCGACACAACTGTTACATCGACACTGAGACTTATAATACATTCGCGTCGTCAATCCACGAATCGTGCGACTTGTCCAATCCCAACCAGCGTACCAAAACTTTTTTACCGCGCCTGCAATTCTTCTTCGTAAAATCCTCCCCGAGAAGATACGTCACCGGGTTCGTGATCTGCACTTTGTCCACTTTAAATAGTTCGGTGGTCCAATTCGGCGTGTATCCTTTGTTAAACACGTGTTTGGATTTACTAATTCTAACCACGTCACCCACTTTCAATTTCCTAGCTCTTAATATTTTCAGGTGACTGAAAGCGCTCTTCAAAAGTGAATCGGCGTTACTTTTATTCACCGCATTAGGTTTCATTCCCGTCGTTCTGTGTTTCTTGTTGTATTGTTGAACGACAGAGGGCAGCACGTCTGTCCAGCAGTACGTTCCGTTTAACGATAAATACCGATGCAATTTTTCTTTGAGTGTCCTTATTACCTGTTCGACTATCGCAGCCTTTTTCTTACTGTACGTACTATAATGATTAATTTCGTGCTTGGTCATGAGCTTCTCAAAATTGCCATTATAAAATTCCTCGCCCAGATCCGTTTGCGGGTTTTTTGGGTGTTTATCCCGTGCCTCTTTC